TAAGTCATAGGAAATTCCTTGGCTCTCCACCCCACTTCCTGAGCTCCAACTGGAAGGCAGCAGTGGATGTGGTGCTAATATTAGCTCTGGTACCTTTCCTCCCTGCAATTCCTTTCACTTTTACCTGGCTTCAAACATCACCTCTCTCCACGTGTTATCTCAGCTGCAGTGTAGATTAGCCAGTAAAAAAAAAAACTATCCATGAGAGAGTAAACACTGGGCTTGAACTGTGGAACCCAGCAATGGCAAACAGAAAGAGCAGTTGGAACCTATTTGCAGGGCTGTACCGATGGAGATGGTGTTCCCTGACTTGTCCAGGAGATAGGCAATCCCTCAGCTCCTTCCCAGTGCTTCCAAGGCGTGAAGAGCCAAGAGAAACCTCCACCTCCAAACCCCAGCAGGAAGTATGCTTGGTTGGGAAGCGTTTGACCAGGAGGTATAAGTAGGGACAAGCATGTGCCTGCAGCAACTCAAAGCTCACAAAGTCCCCCAAAGTGCTACGTGGAGCAGTTCTGGGCACCTCTCCATGAAGAGTCATGACACCCTCACTGTCTCGCCCGAGGGGAGATTCTTGCAGCTTGCTCCTGCACACTTCACAGGGCTGAGCCCAGGTGGGTTGCCCGTTCCCATTGCCCCTTGTTTCTTCCCCACTCAACCACCCCTCTCTCAGGACAAAAGCCTGTGCCCATCTCTCTGTGAGATCCCTTCCACCAACTCCTCTTGCAGCAGGCAGAGCAAAGCTGCCACACTGGTCTCCAGCAGCTCCTTCCAAGCCTCCTGACCACCTCGGTGGTGCTCCAGCTGCCCCAGGTCCCAGCATGTGGGGACTCTGCTCACTGCTCAACTTGGACTCCTCAACACCATGCCTCACAACTTGCCTGGCCACCCAGACCACAGGGTGCGGGTGGGACAGCATGACAGCTTCCCCTTCCAATGCCGTGGGGAAAATCCAACTCAATTTGCCCAAACCCAGCAGGAAGTATGCTTGGTTGGGAAGCGTTTGACCAGGAGGTATAAGTAGGGACAAGCATGTGCCTGCAGCAACTCAAAGCTCACAAAGTCCCCCAAAGTGCTACGTGGAGCAGTTCTGGGCACCTCTCCATGAAGAGTCATGACACCCTCACTGTCTCGCCCGAGGGGAGATTCTTGCAGCTTGCTCCTGCACACTTCACAGGGCTGAGCCCAGATGGGTTGCCCGTTCCTATTGCCCCTTGTTTCTTCCCCACTCAACCACCCTGCTCTCAGGACAAAAGCCTGTGCCAGTGAGATCCCTTCCACCAACTCCTCCCTCTTGCAGTGGGCAGAGCAAAGCTGCCACACTGGTCTCCAGGAGCTCCTTCCAAGCCTCCTGACCACCTTGGTGGTGCTCCAGCTGCCCCAGGTCCCAGCATGTGGGGACTCTGCTCACCTTGGACTCCTCAACACCATAATGCCTCACAAATTGCCTAGCCACCTGGACCACAGGGTGCAGGTGGGACAGCATGACAGCTTCCCCTCCCAATGCCATGGGGAAAGTCCAACTCAATTTGCCCAAACCAACAGCCTGGTGAAATCCACGTGGTTCATGCCAAACAACACTGATTTCCACCTGTGTCTGTGCGAGGGGGGTTGCAGGGGCAAAGGGGGGGTGATGGATGTTTACCTGGACACTGCAGCTGTTCAAGGCAGAGAAGGCATCGAAGCCTGGCACCCAGGACACCGCAATACTGTGACCTGTTCTATTGAGGACACGCAGGCTGGCAGGTGGGGATGGTATTCCTGCAGGGAAAAGCCAAGGGCAGTCAGCTGGAGGCCTAATCATAAACATGGTACATCTGGCTTCCCCCTGGCAGCTCCTGGGGCTCAGTCCAACTGTGTGTGAGCCCCAGGCACTGTCCTGGGTACAGCCACAGCAGCATCCTCCAGACGTGCACCGAGGATGTTTCAGCCCACTGGACAGGGAAGCAGAAAAAACTCATTTGCAGGACTATTTTGACCATGTTCTATATTTGTGAGCTGAAACGGCACTCTATTGCTTAGAGGCAATGACATATTTTGGGGAACACCTTCCTCACATTGCCGGAGTGGCCTCCGTCAGGAATGTCAAGAATTTTCATCATTTCCTATGGAAAATTGTGAGCACCACCCGGGTTGCGAAGGAAGGAAGAGAGTGATACAGCCCTTCCGAAACCTGCTCTGGGGCTGACAGTTCTGCTTTCAAATGTGTTTTTTGGTGCTTCCTCCCACGGCGGCAACACTGGGATGACAGAACCGCTGCTACGTGCATCCCGCTCGATTTTAAATATAGGTTTAAAACGAGGGAAAATAAGCACGTGAGTCCTACAAACATCTCCTTCAGCTGGTGTAAAGTGAGCGTTAGGAAGTGTGGAGACGGGGGAATCTCCTGCTTGGGCACAGGTAGTCAACAGGTACAGTGAGTGTGAGTATTGTGTTCCCTCCTACCTTTCACGTTGACCTGCCCCGGGCTGGAGGCAGTCAGCCCCTTCCTGTTGTGAGCCTCGCAGCTGAACAGCGTCGGTTCACTCACACCTGCACGGGGAAAAAAACAGGACCTGTTCACTGGACCCGCACAAAATCACACCAATTCTCCACCTGCTGCTCACAGAAAACCCTTGCAGGGATTTCTTGCACTATTGCTTTTTTTTCCCCCCCCCCCAGCAACATAGAAGACCTTTCATTTCGCCCTCATCGCTTCTCGTCACGGCATTTCTTCGCTCGCTGCCCCAGCGTGACCCCCACCATCCAGGTCACCCACCTTCCACGCTGCAAGCATCAGCCTGCTCTCAGTGCCAGATGTGGCACAGCGGGGAGGACAGTACGTTTCTCCGGGGCCGTTGCACAACCTCCTGAGTAAGCACTTAGCTTGTGTTCAAAAAAGGAAAGGCAGAAAGCAGAAGAGTCCACCACCATGGCTTGGATCAGATGACTTATTGCTTTTCGAAGGCTGTTGCTCAAATCTCCCAGATGATAAGGGAGAACGACTGCTTTTGGGGGCCACTGGAAATACCCGAGAACGGAAGGGCTGCTTGTTTCTCCTGGGGTGTTGGCATGGCCAGGGCGAGATGACCCTGGGCAGCACCAGTGCTCAGGGGGCACCTCCTGGACACACTGCTTGCTGTGGCTGCAGGGCCAAGGGCTCACCATGGTGCTGTGGACACAGGGAGTGTTTGCTCACACCAGCAGCAGTGCCTCCCAGTTTGACGGGGCTCCTGGGCCAGGAGGGGGACTGCTCAAGTGACCCGACCCAGCCTGTGCCAGCCGGATGCAAGAACATCCAAGAGGAATGAGTCAACTCTTCCGGCTTTCACTGCCTTTTAAAGCCTGCCTTTGGATGCCAAGACGAGTCAGTTATAGTTTGGTTGCTAATTAGCTGGTGGCCATTCTCATGAGCAAATCAAGAAATCCCTCCTCTCTTCTGCCTCCGCAGCAAAATCGTGACGGTTTTTACGTTACGTGAAGGATTTTTCTCCCTGTGCTCCACAAGGCTGGCATGGAGACTGACTGCAGGGGACAATCCAAGGTCTTCCAGAGATACTAAGAAAGGACCATCAGTAAAACAGCCCGTAAAGGCAGCAGTGTACTTGTTGGCACAGCCACAGGCTAGAGGAAAAATCTGCTTCTTGCTTAGGAAAGAGCAGTTCGAGCGTCCTGCCTCTTCCAAGGAAGAAATTTCCAGCAGCAGCCAGAGAGGGTTAGATGGGAGTTCCTGACTCCAGATCATCCCTGGCAGAGCCCTCCCCAGGGCCACCAAACGAGTGGCACAGACAGAGCTGGGCAAAGCCATGCTCCCACTGCCGAGGATGGAGCAGTAACAGGCTGGGACTCATTTTTGCAAACTGGTACCTCTTTGGCAGAGCTGGCCTCCCACGTTCCACTGTGTACGATTTGATGGCCATATCTTAGGCCAGACCTGGAAATTTATCTGTGCTGAGCTTTCAGCCAAGAGCCAGCAATGCAGAGTGCCACACGACAACGAAGCAGGCTGCAACAACCTAGTGATGGTGCCCAGGACCACAGCCTCTGCCTAACGGGAGGCACGAGGCCAAGGGGAAAGGCTGTGAGATGGCACAAGACACCTTCCCACCCTGCCCTTCCCAGTAGCCACACAGAGGTGTCCCAGCTGGGCTGTGGCAAGGATGCTGCTGTGCTCACCTGGCACGGTCAGGACCGACGGGGAGATGTGGGGCTTCTCATTGACTCGGATGTTGTTGCGGAACCAGTAGATCTCCACAGGCTCTGGCGGGCCCACGGCTTGGCACGTGAGGTTGAAGGGGGTGTTCTTGGTGACATTCAGCTTCTCAGGCTGACGAATGAAGTGTGGGAGCCCTGCACGGACACAAGCAGGAGAGCAAGAGATTCAGGGAGCTTGGCAACGCAGCTCTATTAACAACCCCACACTTCCTGCCAAGGGCTCTGCCCAGCTCTGGCAACAAGCCCCTTCCCGTGCAGGACTCCCCATTTTTGGAGAACAGCTCCCAGCTCCCAGGTCGTGGTCCCCAGGGCTCTCACTCAGCCAGGGCACAATGCTCCACAATGTGCCCCAGCCCTCCTCCATCTCACCTTCCAGCTGCACCAAGATGGGATCAGACACCACCTCCATGCCAGAAATGTTGAGTTTGCAGACGTAGGAGCCGTTATCCGAGCGCTGGGCCGCAAGGATGCTGCCAGAGAGAACGGAGACTATGTCAGGGCTTTGGCAGGGAGCCTTGCCCCATACACTGTTCCCACAGGAGGACACAGCAAAGCTGCCAGCCTGGCAGTGGGTTTCAGTCAGTACCACCCACCCCACAGCACATACCAAGAAGAAGCTGGGCTTGCAAAGCCAGGCTTTGGGGGCTAGGGAGCATCTGCCTGTCATACTCCCAGTTCCAAACTCCTGCTAGCCATCTGACCTCCCGTCTCTCCCTGGGACCCCATGTTCAGAGCATCCCTCCAGGAAGGATGACACCGGTTAGTTACCTGAAGGTGGAGGTCATTGAGACCTCCTCCTCATCAGAGATCTCAAAGTGGCTGGTGGCAATGCGGTCCTGCATGTCTAGCTCCCTCCCATCCTTCCACAAGGAAATGCCAGGGGTGTCCGGCCTGAGCAGCAGCTGAGGTACCTTGATGGAGCAATTAAACGTGACATCCTTGTGCTCATTAATCACAATGTGTTGCACCGTGGGGTTAAACTTAATCTTTCCTAGAGAACTGCCTGAGGGCTCCTCCCTGGTGTGCCTTGGGCTCTGGTGAGGCCAGTGGCCAACGGTGGTCAAGCCTTGCTCAGGGTGGTGGGACTCTCCCAACAGGTACAGCCTTGGATCTCGATTTCGGTCAGCATCACCTGCAAGAGAAGACCTCGGTTTCACTACCACCAGCCAGCAAGTGTCCCCTTCCAACACCCTGCAAAGCCCCACAGCTTCCATTAAGAACTAAAGAATGCCTTCTTTTCTTCAGTCTTCACTGTTAGGACTACCCCTCATGAATCTGTGGCCTTAGAGGCAAGGGGGATGGTATGGAGAGAGGAAATTTTTCCTCTAGTAGAGGAGGGCCAGGTTCGGGACCACTTGGCCAAACTGGACATTCATAAGTCCATGGGGCCTGATGGGTTGCACCCACGAGTGCTGAGGGAGCTGGCAGACGTTATCGCTGGACCACTCTCGATCATCTTTGAGAAGTCGTGGAGAACAGGAGAGGTGCCTGAGGACTGGAGGAAGGCCAACATCACT